ATTCTGCATTATAAACCAAATGACTAATCATTGTTGTAAATTACAAAAGATAAATAAGACTTATTTATTCCAAGAGAGGCCATTTGTATTCTGCATGCAATAAGATGGCTGCTATTGTTCTTCGTCCATATCAATGCCCCCTAAGGCATTTGTGGTGATGATGTTTCATATGTTAATGAAGCCAGCTAGGACAATGCATCTTGACCTTGCAAATAATAAACTTCATGACTTTTAGTTTTTCATGTAGGTTACAGTTAAAAAAAAAATAAAATAATGATATACACTAACGTTCAAAGTTTGGGGTCAGCAAGATTTTTCAATGTTTTTTTTCCCAGTCTCTTTTACTCACCAAGTCTGCTTTTATTTGATCAAAAATACACTAAAAACAACAATGTTGTGAAATAATATTACAATTTAAAATAATTTGAACATATCCTGTGATGGTTAAGTTCTAATATGCTGATTTGGTGCTCAAGAACAATTTCTCATTATTATCAGTTGGAAACAGTTCTGCTGCTTAATATTTTGCGTAAATGGTGATTTTTTTTTCAGGATTATTTGATGAATACTGCATGTTTGTTAAATAGAAATCTTTTGTAATATTGTAAATGCCTTCACTGTTACTTTTGATCAATTTCATGCGTCCTTGCTTAATAAATGTATTAACTTCTTTCAAAATAAAAAAAATTATGAAGCTCAATGAAGCTTAAAATTATGGTCAGATTTATATAGCTAAAAATATTAGAAGCAAATATTAAAATAATTGAAATCTCTCAAATTTTGGAAAAAGTGTAATTCAAGTGTAATGAGACTAAGGGAATCAATCACTTTAGAAGGGTGCCGCATACTTCATATTGCATTACATTTATGACCCAGCATAGTGCTGGATCTAAATATTGAATATACACATATAAATATTCATTACACAACGAATAGTTTCTTACAGTCTTATTTCAAGGGAAAGACTGCATTTGTTTGAAGCAATATGTAGATAAATATGATTGATAAAAATATATAGCCTAAAAATATACATGTAACATGCCCATAAATATTAGATTATAGATTCATATTTTTTTTAATGTAAAATAAGAAAGGAAATATTTTAGGCACTGTAACTTCTATGGTTTTCTGTATTTTTAAACACTAGTTTTAAATACTTTAATATATAAATTTAATATTTAAATAATGTTTTTAAATGTTTTTCACCTTTTTGCCATCACAAGTTCATTTAAATAGTCCTGCTGTGTGAATGTGATAAAAACTAATTTTATTTAAATTGCGAGTTTATAAGAGACGCAGGGAGAGAGACAGACAGTAGAGGACATTGTTGTGTAAAGCACACAAGTCGACAGAGAGACAGATGTTGATGGTGTGTACTAAAGAGGATGCAGTGGATGCCACATGAGTAGATGTAAAGAGGGGAAAAAAGATCTAAGAAAATGGAGGTGGGCGCGAAAGGAGAGTAATAGGGAACATGTAGGTAAAAAGTGGCCAGAGACAGGAATGATAACAGAGAACAGAGTTTTTAATGGCATTGTAAAAGCCAGCCCGGAATAAATTACCTTCCATCCCGCAGGATTACTCATGTAATTATTTGAATGAGGGATTTCATTAGGCTGTGCAGAGGTGTGGAAGAAGGAAGGCCGAAGTGATACAAGAGTGAGGACAATTTTTACCTACATAAATTAAGTTTTAGGCATGTGCAGATAATTGATATGAAATTCAGAGTCCTTTGATTAGGACTAAAAAGTGAGAGTGTAATAATGTGGAATCGACTCATGTCAAATGCAGATAGAGAAAAAAAATAACAGAAACGAAAGGGAGATTGAAGAAGAATAAGGATATACACCAGTGATGGGGATAAGTTTTAATTTAAGAGGCACAACGAGAGATTGATGGAGAAATGGGTTATATCTTGGTGATTGTGATGTGTTTGAATTTAATTTGTGTGAATGATCTTTGGAGAAACTCCAGAAAAAAGTGTGCACATCCAACTTGTTAGGTACAGATAAAGGACACAATCCAGAAAAATGAAACAAGTGTTGCTCTAAACTGAACACAGCAAACAGCAATGTTTTCAGCTCTAGAATATCGCCCCCTGTTTTATAAACCACAGTAAAATAAATTTAAGGACAACAATAATAATATTAATACGTCCTGGGACGTAACACCAGGAAAAACCCTAGTTATATAGCGACAGGTAATGAGATTATCAGATTAACATGATTTCAGGAAGTCACATGATGTCATATTTTCATCTTTTGCATACATAGTACAACCCCTAGTTTTTCTTTTAATTTATTTATCATTGTGAAGGGTCCTTTCTCATATTTTGACATTTTTATTATGCAAGTGTCAGATGTCATCAAAGGTTATTCTTTAAAAGCACTAATTTAATAAGACTGTTTTTTAGCAAATCTTAAATGATACAGTATATTTTTCATAATCTATAGAACAAATATGCGATGCCTAAATTCACTTATTATCTTTTAAAATAGATTTTTCTTTTAAGTGTTTTAAGATCCCGGTCATGATTCAGAACTGTAGACGGTAAGTGAAACTGCATCAAATGGCTGTGTTTTGTTGGCAGTCGGAGCTCAAGTGCTCGTCAATCTTTATCTCCGCCCACGGCGCGCCTCCAGGAGCTCGGCTTTTTCCGGAGAGAATCGTAAAGCTGTATCTTTCTTTTATAAATATGATAAAACTAAATACTTTTTGGAGATATGAAGGATGCAGTACTACTCTATAGGTACTCAAGATTAACATGAGATTGGGTGAAACTGTGTGTGTGTATGTCCCCTTTAAAAATATATAAATACAAAATATTACAGAATTTCAATATTAGGCATTTATAAATTATTGGCCATGACAATAACAATTATTATCAGCTTACTAATAATTACCAAAAACTATGAAAAAAAAAGAAGAGCATTTGGTCAAAATTTTTATATCAGTGTTCTCCTGATGTTCTCAGAATATATAAAACAATATGTGGATTTTTACTGGTATAAAATAAACTGTTTTTAAAATTACCCCATTTTCTTTATTTGTTTATAAATCATGTAACTTCCTGTGGGCAGATAATCTGATGATGTCATTACCTGTCTCTATGGGTTTATTTCACATTGAAGACAGAGTTTGAAACGCTGAGATTGTTTAATACAATTTTGAAACATTAATATTAGTGTGTAGACATTTACTCTTTAAATGATCTTTTCCAGAACAAAAAGAAAATGTTTTGACAGAGAATTCATCTCTGCTAGAATTTATTCAACACCATAACTCTTTAGAAGGCATAAAATTAAGTGACGAAAAACAAAAGAATCTCCCAAATTGTATCTTTATCATTGAAATTTCACAACACAATGAATTAACAACTCACAGAATCTGTTTGGAAATTCAGAACAGCATGCTGGGAAAAAAATAACTGAAGCACAGCAGTAAACCTGACGACAGTGTCTTCAAAGAGTAGGCCTCATACGGGCAAGAATGAATGGAGAAAGAAAAAGAGAGTGCGAAGCACCTCTGACCGAATGCAAACAAGTGTACAAAGCCTAAAAAAAAAAAAAAAAAGATGAGACAGAAATCTGTCTCCCAGACATCAACTCATCCTTCCTAGTTGGCGTTTCCAATATTTTTCTTTTTATCTCTTCGATCTCTCAGTGCTCCGATTCGTTCTTTTCCTCAGGCTATGAAAGAGTAGCAATTGATTGCGTTCGTACACACAGGAGCCCACAGATGCACGCACACACACGCAGAGCTATAATTTGTTCGATTTGTTCATTTTTATTCATCCATTTATATGGAGGAGATGAAAACCCTCTGCACATCTAACAGAACCGTCATATTAGGCCTAATGCCACACACAGTAAATGCTGAAGATCTGTAAAACACATGGGAATAAATTATCACCAGGAGGAATGTTAATAAATTATAGTGGGGAGCATGTGGATCAAAGTACAACATATTCTTGTTATGCAAAAGCGCACTTTGCGTGCATGACGAGTCTTTGATATTCGGAGGAGGGACGTTAACGGTTGCGCTTCAGAAGAACTTTTAAATATTTGACCTTAAACACTTCAAACTACTGTAAAAGTCCACACTGCTTTAGTAAGGGACCGTTTGCTTGAAACACACTCACAGTTTTACACGTTTACAGTAAATCGAACAACAAAGGCGGCATGAAAATGTGGAGAACACAGGAAAATATTCAGACACTTTTTTGTTTCTTTTTCACCATCAATATTTTAAATGTTACATTCCTGTTAGGGCTGCACGATAAATCGAAATGGAATCGAGATCGCGATTCGACAGAAGCTGCGATTGTCATGCGTATCTTTCAGTGAAGCACGGTTCTGTGATCAGCAGTAAATCTCCATCTTACTTCACAGAGCCGTAGTTCACTGAGAAGCTATGCAAACAGCTGTCATTATCGCAAACTATTTCTTCGATTTCATAATCGCGCAATAAAATCGTCTGCGATTTTTTTGCGTAACTTGTCAGTGAACTACGGCTATGTGTAGTAAATTCTGCTCCATCTGAAAGCACGTGATGATGATTTACTGCTGATTACAGAACTGGCATTACTATCAAAATGCGCATGACAATCGCATTCGATTAATCGTGCAGCCCTAATTCCTGTTTAGGGCCGTTTCATCTCCCAGTGAAACCCAACATGGCCCCAAGTTCAAAAGAGCAACATATAACAACAGAGCAGACAGGAAAAAGTAGGATGAGAGACTGAGACTCAGAGAAAGAGAGAGAGAGAAAGATAGAAATGGTAAAGACCCTGAACAAACTTGTTTGCACCATAGCTTTGTTTGCGCAGTGTTTCCTCTGGGCATATCCTGTAACTTTCAAGAGTGGATCCAGAGCAAAAGAAAAAAGTTTTTTCCAAGTCAGATGTCCATTGAGGCTACAAGGTTACAAAGCTCCTTAAATAAGTGCCAGCCAATGAGAAGAAAGCTTGGCTTCCCATCCTCTCAAGCACTGATTGGCTTCCACGACTTTAAGTACACGCGATTGTCATGGCGATTCAAGTGCAACGCAAGAGTCAAATTCAGAAAACAGATCAAACATCCATGTCAGGGAGGCAGAACGCCACTATCTTGTGTCTGAGCGTGGCATATGTCACAAAAATGGATGGAAATATCCTTGCGAATATCCAAATTAGCATCTCTCGTCCACTCTATATACACTACGCAGCATCCGTACACGCTCAAAATGGGACCCTGATTGAAAGAAGGGGGTGGGGGGCGGGTCCCAGTTCAATCATGAGCTCCTGGGATTGGGCAAGTCGAAAACGATGGGCAGGTTCATAGGCTGGAAGTTCACCGTGCACGCCGAGGCATTAATGAACGTGGTGGTTCCATCTTTCATCATACCGTAACCTAGCTCGCACAAACACAAAGATATTCCAATTCATTAAGTTGAAGAATGTCATGCATGTTTTGTTTTTGTGAAAATACGTTAACACGCATTTAAAAGGTGAACACTGATACAAAATGATATTAAAGGAATAGTTCACACAAACATGAACATTTCCTGAACATGTACTCACCCTCAGGCGATCCAAGATAAGATGATTTTGTTTCTTTATCGGAACGGGAATTTAGCATTACATCACTTGCTCACCAATTGATTACTTGTGGATTATTGTGATGTTTTTAGCAGCTGTTTGAACTCTCATTCTGACGGCACCCATTCACTGCAGAGGATCCATTGGTGAGCAAGTGATGTAATGCTAAATTTCACCCAAACTGTTCTGAGCAAGAAGCAAACTCTACATCTTGAATGGCCTTTAAAGGGATAACCATAAGCCTTGGTCAGCTCCAAGGACAACAGTTCCACCGAAAAATCTTCTTTACTTCTACTAAAGAAAAAAAAGTCACCTACATCTTGAATGGCCTGAGGGTGAGTAAATTAACAGCAAATTTTCAATTTGGGTGAACCATTCCTTTAATAAGGTCAAAAATGAGGTTTAAAGTGTTAAAAGCTAAATGGTAAGTACAAATAATCATGCAGTGTGTATGATTAAAGTGTATAAATTGCAAACAGCAAAAAAGGACACAAAACAACTAGCAAATGATTGCAATTTTTGCTACGAGTGGAGCTATTTTTATACTTTTCTGTGCCATAACATAAACATGGCAGAGTCAAACACAGACATGCAAAGCACAAAACACAAGCGTACACACATGTAAAATGAAATTATATTGCCGACAAAGATGAGAATCCTTTACTAAAAGCATTTTGAGTGTGTGTGCTAAATTTACTGTGAATATGAATGTGATCTAGTTTTTGCTATGGAGCTGTCAGAAGGCAAAGCAGCATGGGACAGACTCTGCCCTGCTAACCCCAAAACAGGCAGATTGACGTGGCAGCATGAACAAATATGTTTGAGATCACAGGGCTGTATGGATTTCATGCATGTGATGTATAGACAATTGCGACTCTTATCATCTCATGTGATTACCTTCATGAATGTGCCCAAATACATGTAGTTTGGGCTGAACTCTCCTCTGGACAGTGTTCAACAGCTCCATACAGCCAACACGCTGCATCTTCCTGGGCACCCAGTCCAAAAAACCTACAAAAAGGTAGTATAATGACTAATATGAACATCAAAAGGCAAAGAAAAAGACAGAAATATATGATGTTAGAACAGACAATTTGGTTTATTTACGCTTTTGGAGTTACAAGCTGAACAAATGCCAGATGTACCAAGTTAGGGAAGAGAATCATAATGAATTTAAAGACTGTAGTTCTGATTCCACAGTGTTTCATATTCTTAATGACGTTTTGGCAATTTTAAGGAAGAAGTAATGGATTTACAAAGTCACCATAACACAACATCTTGCACGTCCGAGGTGCTAATTTAAGAACTCAACAAGGGTGAAGTCTTGACTCACGGAATTTTAATTAGATGTGACTGGACGCTCTAGGAAGGTTACCAAGCAACTTATGCGTTAACTAATTAATATTCATGAGCTAAGCCTTAGCCATAGGATTAGTAATTCACATCCTGAATTTTGATTTATCTTTCACAATTAATTGCGTGAGTCCAAAAATGTTTACACATCCAAAACCAATAACATCATGAAGTTTGAGTCTAGATTTCAAACCAGTTCTTGATTTCAAAACCTACACTAAGTATAGAGCGAGTACATGATTTCAAGTTAAAGGTGGGGTAAGCGATTTTTCAAAAACGCAATAGAAAACTGATTCGGGCCGAGTAGCAAAACAAACTTGTAGCCAATCAGCAGTAAGGGGCGTGTCTACTCATGATGTGGAGGAGAGAGCGTTCAGTTCACAGCAGAGGACGGACATTAGCCGAGCCGAGCGACAGAAAGATAGA